CTTTATGTCATCTTCATAGGAGTGCTGTTGCCATGGTCAGATTGGCTGGATTGAATTATGACACTGCCACTTAGAGTTATATATTGCTTGTTTCAGTTTCTCCCCATGACGTGGGGCTCAAAATATAGGGATTTATGATAATCTAAGTTATGTTTTACCTAATCTAGGAACATAATAGTCCATGTAGCATCAATGTAACTATAGAATTGTGGTGAAATGATATACAAATAGATGTATACATACATTCAGTATCTGTGTCTTAGCAGAAGTGTTTAAAAATGTGGTAGCTTACTGCCCTTCTATTTTCCATCTGTAAATTGACAAAAATAATAGTGTACATCTATGGTACATATCAGGTACTCAGTAAATGGTTATTATCATTAATCTGGCCCAATAGAAACATTGTTTACCGAGATCCTCTGAAGACTGCTACATTTCAGGTAAAAGACGTGGTTTCCTCTATCCACTAAGTCTGTTTTTTGTTCATTTATCATTTTTTAGATTTTGTTTTTCTAGGTAATAATGTCAAGAACAGGCAATGCTATACCCTGGATCTTGGAAACAGTCCTAGAGAGATTGACGGTGCCTTGCCCTCACAGGCACTCTCCAAGGTCCTGATGGGTCATCTCATTTTGTAAGGAGAAGGGCATTTTGAGACACCTGGGTGCACTTTGTGGCAGACAAATAGAGGGTTTTTGCTCAATGAGTATCATGGCCCTGCAATTGAAAAAAAAATGAGCTGAAATATTAATAGGTCTTACCAACTGCTAGGTGATTATAGAGTCGAAAACGCACAGGAAGCCTCTGGGACAGAATTGCTATGTCCAGAATGAAGCAACAGGAAAAAGAAAGGCTGCGGGCTAGGAGGAGTGGCTGCCCAAACTGAGTAAGGCAACTACAGTATTTGAGGGTCAGAACCACATATTTTCTGCTTTAGATGAATTTTGTTCCTTAGTATTATCAATAAACCACTTAGACCTATGATGAAGTTTTAGTAAAACGATGGTTACAGGGAAAATTGTGAAGCAGAAATGGTTTGGTTCCAGTATTCTACTCACCTCATCCTTCATGTCGTCCTTACAACATGAATGAATGAGCACACTCCCACACAGCCTTGGAACCTACTCTCCACATCTATTTGCTATAGCTCTATCTTTGTGGGAGGACCTGTGGAGGTAGGGATACACTGAGCTTCAGGTTAAACTCATGCACAGAGCTTATAAGTAATAGTCATGGGGTAAGTGATTACTGGTGTTGATTCACAGAGTGGATCAGGAATGCCAAGGCCAATGCATCTTCTTTTCTTTTTCTTATGCAATATCTGGTTTAGCCTCAGCCATGTTCTATGAGTTTAAGGCAGAGAGACATGAGATAGAAAAAAGGCATTACCTTGCGTGTTCCATCTTTTCCTTTCAGAAATTCAAGTGCTTTCCTAAGGCCATCCCTTCAGTAGAATATTGCTTATATTCATTGGCCATTGGTCACATGACTATTCCTAGCTTCAAGATAGGCTCAGAAGGGAGAACAAGTTCATCACCCAATAACATCCAGTTGGTTGAGAAATCAACCAATAGCAAATGTTGGCAGGGCTGTGGAGAAAAAGGAATCCTTCTTCTTTGTCAGTGGGAGTGTGGACTGGTGCAGCTACTGTGGAAATCAGTGTGGAGAGTCCTCAGAAAACTAAAACTAGAGGGTTCCATTTGATCCAGATATTCCCCTTCTTGGTAAGAAAGAATCTTCCTGAAAGAATTAAAAGCATCATACTACAGTGATGTATGCACACGCAGGTTTATAGGAGTTTGTAATAGTTAAACAATGGAAACAGCTCAAAAGATCATCAACCAATGAACTGATTAGGGAGACGTGGTTTTTAAAAATACAACAGGGTACTGCCTTGCCATAAAGAAGAATAAGCTTGAGACAGTTCTAGGTAAGTGGGTGCACCACACTCTTAAGTGAAATAAATCAGACACATATGAGAAATCAAAAGGATAAATAAGGGCCAAAATGTATAATAAATACGGTGAAGTAGAAAGAATACTTAAATGGAAAGAGACACAAGGGAGAAGGAAGGAGGAAAGGAAAGAAGGGAAAAATAAAAATACAATAGATGAAAAAAATGGGAACAAAGATTTCATAAATAAGGAGAGAAAGAGGGGTTGAAGGGAGGGGAGGGGAATGGGAAAAAAGAAGCAAGAGATATCAGGTAAAGGTACATGATATAAAAATCATGTACAAATGATATACAAAATCATGTGCACATTCCCTGTGATGAATGTAATCATTGATGTATTTAAAAAGAATACAAAATACCCTAAATTATGCAGTGATACCCTGTTGCAGAAAAACCAAAACATTGTCACGATAAACTGAGACAAGCATGGCCTATTGTCTGGAGTTTGCCTTTACTTTCTAGGTAAAATTTCAGTTCTATTATTAAGAAAGGAAAAGAATAAATATTGGGGAGGCAATTAACAGTAACTGCCACAGTCCTTTCTCTTTACAATCAAAGCTTGTAGCCTTTGAAAAGTAAGTATTATTATTATTATTATTCTACCTTAACAGCCTTCAACTATTTGTATATCTGCTTAGAAAGTGTTTAATTGAATAAATGACTGGGCATATTTCTGCTGAATTATCAAATAGGCCAAGAAGCAGCCTCATTTTCTCTTAATAATTTTTGGTTTAAGGCTAGGATTTTTAATGAAAATACACCTTAATCTGCAGGCATGATTTCAATATGAGAATTTCACCTAACAGGAGAACAAGGACAAATCTAACTTTTCATAGAGTATTGGATTGTGAAGTATTGTTTGGTTAAGACTTTTGTTGCCTTTAGTTTTGCAAGCAGAATCCTAGCATGTGAGCCCTGATTGAAGTCTTTGGAAATCACAATCAATACGTAGAATTTATTGAAATCTTTTTCTCTGATAGACACTCTACTAGGGCTTTAAAATTATCACCTCATCCAGTCATTATGACAAATCTATGGTGTAAATATAACTCCTAATATTATAGAGATAGAATTAAGACCCAGAGAGATTGAGTAACACACATGAATTCACACATATTGCAAATGAAGTAGCTTACATTCAAATCCAGACTGCCTGATTCCAGTGTATGCTCATATTCCTTAGACAAGACAGCTTTTCTAATAATCATAGTTATTCTTGATGGAGAATATGCAAAACAAGCAATTACGTAGAATGCACTTATATAAGCATGTTACATTTGCTGATTTGATTCTCACAACAACCCTAGGAAGCAACTTGTTTTCCCTTCCTTTTATAGGTAGAGAAACAAAAGCACAGAGAACTTAAGTAACTTGCCTTGTCGATTATAGAGCCTGCATAAGGAGAACTGAGGTTTTTCTGGGTCCTGAGCTCAGCGTCTTTTCTTGTGTTGTTCTGTCTTTTGAGATTAGTTCTTTTCAAATCTCTCATTCTAGAGATGAGATTCAAGGGAAACACGATGAAGAAAAGCTCATTGAGAGTGATTAGATGTTAGGAAGTTTGTGAGTTAAGTACTGTTAATTCCTTTTTATCATATTAGGATAATGTGAAAAGATGCTATAATTAAGAGACCTTAGCGGTTTCAAAAGAAGGCTTATTTCTTGTGTAACTGACAGAGTTTGGTGGTCTAAACTGGCTTCATAAATTTGAATTCATAACAGGTGTTCCATTTGTAATTTCCTAGCCAACAGAGAAGAGGAAGGAAATGTAGAGAACAAACTTGCTTTATATGGGTCAATGTGTAAATGACATATAACATATAACACATAACATGCAGTTTCTCCAGCTTACATGTCATTGGTCAAAATGTGGCAAAGTGGCACCTGCAAGGCTTTTCCAAACTGTGAGACAGTCGGGGAAATGTCTATATAGTTGGCCACATACAATGGAAAAGGAAAGTGAAGATAATATTAGATAATCAGCAGTCTCACATCACAGATAAAGAAGTAGAGGTTGTGAGGGGTTATGATTTGCTCATTGCCACATAGTTAGTGGCGAACAAGGAACATGCACATTCTTGAAGAGGGGTAGATTAGAAGTACCAGGACGTGGAGCAGTGGCCTGGGCAATCCAGACAGCGGTGCAGAGAACTCACATTGTCAAGCTCTTGAGCGGCAACAAATAGTCACATGGAAAGAATGAGGTACTTACAAGAGAGAGTCTTAGAGGCTGGAGAAATGAGCAGCTGGGTACTCATGCGGGAATGAATGGTGTGATGGGAGGCGTGGACAGGAAGCAGGGCTGTGGGACTGCTGGACTCCAGGGGTTGTGGTTTTCACACAGATAGAAGTGGTACCTCCGCAGTTAAGTAGCAGTCCTCTTCCAGGGAGGTTCTTCTGTAGTTCTGTTGCAGACTGGACCCATTGGAGAAGCGGATTGTACATGGGGGATTGGTAAGCAGCAGGCTTGCGAGGATGAACATTTGGAATCAATATCTACAGGAAAGAAGCAGGACTGACCATATTGCCAACTGCAATATGATCACAGATGAAAACTCTGCCAATGTTATGGGGGAAGTGTGGTCATTCTGAAGACAGCATAATCTTTTAAACTTGTTTCTAAAGTTGTCTCAGTCTTGTGACTGAGACAGTAATTGACTGTAGGCTGATCAGGGAATGGGGCATGCACTGGGTGTGACCTTGGGGAAAGGGACGTATGTTGGGAGAGACCTCGGATGAGGTAGTTCACTTCAGCTGAGGCAAGGAGGGGCTGGTTGCACAGGGTTGCCCCCTGAAATTGCTTTAGCAATTGCATAATGAGTGTTTTATTTTGAAAAGGGGTCTTAGTAGTACCTCACAGCATCCTCTTCCTCCTTCAGTCAATGAACTGACTTCCATGTATCTCAGAGACTTTGGACTCTTTTAGAGCTTCTTTTATTCAATCTCAAATATCTTTGGATTGAGGAGGAGGAGGTGTGTACAGCTTATATTTCATTATTATTTAATTGATAGTTTGTTTATCATTTAGGCACTGCTGAGGGTCAGTTGCTAGAAGCAGAGAACAGTAATGCAACAGATAACACCAAACTAGAATGGAATGAGCCAAAGGGGAGCCTCTGTCATGGTTTATGTCTGTGGCCCCCAGGCCTCATGAGTTTAAATTGTGCATTTGTTATTCGTTCATTGTCTCGTGCTTGGATTGATGGTGTCAGTGCTCCACCCACGAAGGGGTGGAGCCAGGATGTGATGTAATGGCAGGAAGAAGGTGTGTCTTGCTCTTTGCTGGTTTCTGATTGCTGTTTGCAGCCGCCACGTTTGAGCCCAGCCATGTCCGCCTGCCTTGGAGCCAACTGAGTGTGGACTGAAACCTCCGAAAACTGTAAGAAATAAACCTTTCCTTTCCCAACTTTGGGCTTCAGGTATTTTGTCTCAGCAATGAGTAAAAAGTAACTAAGACAGCCTCCCAGGAGCACAAGGAAAGCTGGGAGTGGGGGCAAAGCTAAGCTCCTCTTTTCTTCCCCCAAATCGAGGCAGATTCTTCCTGGGACAGAGAGCAGTGGGGAGGTAAAGTTCTGCAGGGCTCTGAAGTCAGACTTGTCAACATCACAATTTTGCCCAAAATGAAACCTACCTGAGATACTCCCTTTTCCTTCTGTTTGAATTTCTAATTTTCTCTTCACCAAGATGGCCGTCTTTCAAATGAAAGAAAGATCACAGTTTGATCTGATTCCGAGTTTGATTTTTCCCCCTCCCTCAGCATAACAGCTCACACATCCGAGGGCTGTAGCTAAAAAGTGATTTTTAAAGACTTCTCATTGGCAAAGAAATCAATTGAAAGAACTCTTTCCTTTCAGCCTCCTTTCTAGTCTGCCTTTAATTTTTCTCTCTCTCCAATCTCCTGCTAGGAAAGTTTTGTCTGAGGCCATCTAACGCACTTTGTCAGAAACTTGCCTTGTTAAGGATTGGGGTCCTGCTGGGTGAACTGAGGAGGTGGTGCGATTTCCCCACAGTCTTGGCAATTAACTCAGTTCGAGAAAAAGGTGGAATCAAAGGCTTTTACCAGGGAGACAGAATCCCAAGGCAAAGTCATCTGTCAAGGACGGGGTTCCTGCTAAAACAAACTTCACGGCAGCCTCGAGGGAACAAGACTGCAGGAGGGATGGTGGCAAGGCTCTGGTAAGGGACAGATCAGATAAGAACTGACCTTTTAAAGAAAATAGGGGAGAAAGGGCTCCTCTGTCCTGTGTGCTTTGCACCCCAAGCTGTGCTCTGCCTCTCAGTGGCTGCGTCATCTCAGGGGAATTAGGTGACATGTCTGAGCCTCAGTTCCCTTCCCTGCATTTTTTGCAGTGAAGAATTTGGCAAAGGACACAGCCAGTGTAAATTAAAGAGCCTTAGTCATAAAGTGTCTGGGACAGAAACACAAAGTTCTCAGAAACTGAAGCAGCTCTAGTGACTGTCTTTTCTCTCCTTTTGTCACTCCTTGTCTTTATTTTGGGGCTGTTTTATTAGCCTGCTTCACTCCCACTCACCCCTCTGTGCTTCCTACAGCCTCATCTCTAACTCACAGTTTCTGCCCATCTAAATACCAGCTCTCCTAAGACTTGTAAGGCTGTACCAACCTTACTCTGCTTTAGATTTTCAGCTTTCCTTCTCACAAAGCAGAAACTTAAATTTTTGAGGTACATTTCAGAGAGAGAGAGAGAGAGAGAGAGAGAGAGAGAGAGAGAGAGAATGAATGTAATTGGTTCAGCTCAAATTTGTGTACTAAGCCTGTGGATTGGTTGACTTTAGTTCAGTTGATTAAACTTTAACCAATTAGACATCCGTGGAAAGGAAGGCTCACATCTAGTGCTTCACAGAGGGCTCCATTCCTTAAAACTCCCCAGTCATAGGGGCAGGACCTTGAAGTGTCTGTTAGCTAATTCTTACTAGTGAGTGAATAAAATACCAACATGGTTTAAGCCCTAAGACAGTCCTGCAGTAGCAACAAAGAACATTGACTTTGGGATCAAAATGTGATTACAAATCTTGATGCCAACTCATTTGCTTAAGTTCTCTTCAGCTCACTTTCCTGGGCCTCCATCTTTAGCTTCCTAAATTAAGGGTTGAACTTGATCCCAGTGTCTGTGATATTCTGTTGACTTGCCTCCACCTACCCTTTCCAAGAACCACTTATAGGTGTCAACAAGATAAACAGGTAAATCTGTGCAAAGAAGCAGATTCACACAGAGAATCTAAACTTGCTAGAATATGGGCATAAAATCAATGCAGTATCTTTTGAGGCTCTCAGCTTGGTTTTGTAACTCTGACTTGATTAAGGCTGTTTGGGAAAGGTAGCTAATTTAGGTGGAATGCTTTCCTTGGAAAGTAGTTAGTAGGGGGGAAGTAGCTAACTATGGAGGATTATAATTTCAAAAGATGACCAGAATGTCTCCAACTGCACATGTGTCTCTAGAGCCTTACTGTTCCCCCATCGAAAGTCTATTTCCCTTCCCCTTGTACTTGGATGGACTTTTGAAATTCTCTTGAGCAACAGACTATCATCAAAGTGATGCCATATGCCATCCTAGCCTAATTCATAAATATGCTATGCACTTCCTCTCTGTTCTTGTAGGTTGTTTACTTTGAGGTTGAATCGACCATGCTGTGAAGAAGTCCAAGCACTGATCAACAGGCCCATGCTGGAAGAGAATCAAGACCCGCAACCTGTGGCTTAGATTGAGGTCCTGGTTTCAAACTGGTGATAATTCTCCTGCCATGTGTGTGAGCCTCCTGGGTGGCTTGTCTCACGTGATGGCTCCATGGGGCAGAGAATAGTCATTTCTGCCAGGCCCTGGTCAAACTGCAGATATATCAATAAAATGAATAAATGAGTTTTGGCCACTAAGTTCCTGATGTGGCTTGTTAGGCATAGATTGCATTGAAGAAACACTCTCATCAACTTTCTTAGTCCTGTGTGCAAGTGGGGAGTAAGGAGAGTTCGGGGCCAAGAAAAGAGAAGAAGAAACAGAAAGAGAGGTGTGTGAAAATACACTAGGGGAGTTTGTGGACTGTAAGAGGAAGTAGATACTCCAGTGACAATGGTGACTGCCCCCCATGCTCTAGACTGAGAGCTGAGAACTGCTGTTTTCTCTGACAGCTGAGTAAACTGCCATCTGGAAAGCCTAGTCTTCCCCGAGGTCACAAAGCCAGTATGTTGTAGAGCTTGTATTTGTCTTTGTGACATGTGATGCCAGACCAAAGTCATCTCTGACCAGAGACCTATTCTTGAAAGACAAAATCATTTCCATCAAAATTAAAGCCCCATTCAATCCCTTATGAGCTTAATAATTAAGTACTAATTACTAAGTAAATAATTTAGTACTAGCCATGTGTTAGTCACAATTCTAAATACTTTGCTTGTGTCATTTACTCCTCACCATAATCCTCATTTTTCAGATAAATGGCCTAAGCCCCTTCCCAAGGTCTCAGAGGCAGTAGAGGGTACCGCTGAGCCTGACACCAAACGTATACTCCTCCGAACTTCTGTTTTTTAATTTTAGGGGCAAAGATGGAAAGTTGAGAGGATGCAATGGGGGAAGGGTGGAAAGGGAAGAAAGAGGTAAAAAAGCATAAGATAGAGATAAGGTGGGGAACAGAAGGAGAGACGGAGGCAGGACTCTGTCGACACCACAGTAGGGCTGTCCTGGGGGGCAAAGTGTTATAATTCATCACATCACTGTAATGAAGTCATTAAGTTGTGGCCACAGGCGTGTGTTGGGGAGCTGCATGGATGGGTTGTCTCTGGAGTCTGAATTCCATAAAACTGTTCCTTTTCCAATAATATCATAGTGGAGAAGGAGAGTACATTGAAATGAAATACTGTGTAATTCATTTGTCTTCTTTACAGAGGAAATCTCCCTCTCATTTATCTGTAGGAAAGGTTTAAGTGAGTTTTGTAATTCTTATAATGTGCCCTTACGAGGAGGTTCTGCTTCGCCATGGGGGCTTTTTCATCATTCCTTGAACCACAAGCAGAGATCATACCTGAGAGGAAGGCGAAGACTTCTAAGAAAAACAAACAAGCAAGAATTGTCAGAACCAAAAGCTACATGCCCCAAAGAGAATGCAGAATGTGACTAAGAATGTAAATTTATTTCTCTTTACATTGTGAGTGTACAATGCATGCATGCAGTCCAACACATACATATGGTCACACACAGAGGTGCATATGTATGTACCATATAGAGTCACATGTATGTCACGTGTCTGTCCCATATAGAGAAATATACAGTCACACACCCAGACTCATACATGTCAGGTACAAAGACATTCACGTAAAGAACATATAGTCACATATACAGGCAGAAACAACAATCACACAGACTTAATCACACAAACACGTAGTTTCATGTGCATACACAAACAGTCTCACAACATGTATAGTTGCATAATCCTACCTATGTGAGCTTATTTACACCCAGAGGAACACACATATAAACACACAGATATATACATTGCTATGGTCCCCCTATGTTGTATTTTTTTCTGTAGCCTCTATTTCTGATTTGAGTTTCTAACTCTGAGTTCATTTGCCTGGATTCACACTCTGTTTCTGTACTTATTTGGTCAGGTTATGCAACTTCTCTGAGACTCTGGGTCAGGATCTATAAAATGAAGATGAGCATCCACTTCCTAGAGTTTTGGGGAGGCACTGCCTGTGCAGTGCAAAGCACAGAGTCTGGAACATAAAGACTTCCATGAATACCAGTGACTGCTCTTGCTGTGAGTGGGCAAACATTCTTGTCTTCATCATCATCCCTGAAGTCCCCATTTTTACTGCCACTTACTGTCATCAAAAACTCCCTGTACTGAATACAGTGGGCTGGAACCTGTCCCAGTGGATTGCTTGTATCACTTCACAGCTGCATGAGGTGTAGGTACTATTATCTTGATAAAGAAGGAATGTGATGCCTGGGAAGCCTTGATAACTTGCCCCAGGTCACATACCTGTTAAGTACAAAACTAGGATTTAGACCTATGTCTGTTTAATCACAAACCTTGGTTGTTAACGATAAACCACATATAATCTCAGCTATGTACAGTTTGTACTGTGTTGTATCCCTCTGCTAGGATATAAGATCCCTGAGGGACTGCCTGCTTTGTTCCTTGTTATTTCTTAGCGCTCAGAACACAACCTGGCTCAGATTTTACTTTGAAAGAAAAAGGGCTCATTCACCTGCCAAATGGAGGTGATAATGTTCACCTCATAATGCCACAAAAATTAAATAGGACAATGTCTTTGAAAGTAGTTGGCTCATACCAGGGGCTCAACAAATGATAACAATGCAGATTTTTGTTGAATTAGAGACTCAAGAATGACTCAGAACCAAGGATGACTCAGAGCTTCAGGAGTAGAATAGTAACTCAGTGAAAGGGGAAGGCAAACCACGCTGCTTGGAGCACATGAGAAAGTGGATTGGAGGTCACTAGAGTGAGGCGGCAGCCAACTGCTATGTTCCCATGAGATGGCTTAGCAGGTGGTAGAAATGGAGAGGATCCTGATGGAAGATCCTGGTGTGGCACATAGCCCCTAAGAAGGCCCCAGGGATCCCTGTCACCTTGAATTCATGGCTTTGTGTGAGCTTGACCTGTTAACTCACTTTTACCACCTAGAATATAGCACACGTGATGGGTGATCACAGCTGAGATTAGGTTATAAAAAAGACTGCGATTTCCATGCTGGGGACTCTCTCTTGCATTAGGCACTTTACAGAAGCTAACTATAGTGTGGCCTGTGGAGAAATATGCATGACAATAACATGAAATCTATCAATAGTCAATGTGCATGTCATGGTATAGATCCGGTATATCTACATGGACTCAATAATCATCTCTGGTTCCTAAATTGGATTCATAGTCAGTAAAACAAAATTCCTGAAGCTAAAGAGACCAATCCTCCCAGGAGGAGAGCTGGAAACCATTTGTTGTTACTCAAGCATACGCTTTGGGGAGATCTCACAACCCTTCTCCAAGCAGCTTATCAAAGTTTGCTTCCTAGCTGCACGCAGTGCTATCCCTGGGAGGACTTCTGGTAAACACAATTTTCTTCTTCTTGTTACATTTCCAGTGATGTTTTAGAGTCCTGTATGGACGAGAGCCCAGAGCTGTTGCCTGGCTGTCCTGCCAATTAATCAACTCTAGTAGAGAGCATTGGGAGAAGTCATTGGATTGGCTCTTGTGAGGTTGCCAGTAACCTTGGGCAGAGTGGCTCCAGTGGGGACTTGGGGAGGACGCTAGATTAAGCAGAGTGAATGTGTGTGCTGAGGTTGTGGAATCAGAGAGTGTGAAGACAGCATGGCGTTTTTGAGAAGTTTGATGGATTGAGGAGAGAGCAGGGTGAAGGGAAATGGCTTTCATTTTTCTTTAATCATAGGAAAGATCTGAAAATATTGCTAAGCAGAGGAAGAATCCATTATCTGGGGAGAATTATGCCCTATAAAAGAGAAAAAGCAACTGAGGGACCAACATTGTTGAGGAGGAAGGAGCTTAAAGGGCCAAGAGTGTTTGAGAGCTCAAATTTTGGAACTGGGCACACCTGGTTCTGAATTCTGGCTCTGCCTTTTTCTAGCTGGGTATTTTGGGGCTGGTTGCTTAACCTCTGTGGATCTCTGTTTTCTCAAATCTAGAATGGGATAGCAATGCTTTTCTCATAGGGTTATTGCAAATGCTAAACAAGAAAATCTTGGTAATTAAGTGTGTATCTGGAACTCCACAAGTAATACTTAGTAAATGCTGCTAAATTTTAAAAGACTTAGAAATGAGGCTAGAGGAAGACCTGGTGACATTTAGAAATGGAGTAGAGGATCAGTGCTTGTCAACTTTTTACTCCTGGAAAGTTTAAGTATATTTTGGGCAGGGAAATTTTTCTGACAAAGATTTTTCTCCTTTGTAAACATGAGGATTGAGAACATAAAATCCTCCTTTGAATGTCCTGGGATGATGTGTGAGCTGCGATCCATGGAGCTATGGTAACTGTTTTGTTGCCTTGATGGCAATAAAGCCTAAAAATAAAGGCCAAGAGGAAGATGGTGGATTGGAAAAACGTAAATGTCCTTTATACCATTGTTGAGCTGCTGAGCAAATTAAAGTTCCTTATGGTGCAAATCATTTTAAAGTAGGTATTCTGCTAATTTCAGTCAAATGTTTTATAAATTATAACGTGCTCCTGGTGGAAGATCCAACATTTGCAATCGTAAGAGGGAGGGAGCATGCTGAGGAAATGGTATATGGTTTGGCCGCAGGGGTGTGGAGCACAGGAAAGAGAATTCTGAGAGGTACATCAGAAATACAGTGATACAAGAGAGAGGTGGCTCAGCAGGGAGGACACTTATTTAGAGGAGAACTTCATGCTGTGTGGAGCAAGGACCTCTCCTCTGTTGACCTAAGCAGTTTGCTTTTGCAATGTCCCAGAATGCTTTGAGGCTGAAGTATGAAGTAAGAGGCTAGAAAGTGTGACAAAGGCAGGATACTGGCAGAGTACCAGTCATGGAGAGTTTTGAACATTGTGCAAAATGGTGCCTCCAGTGTAGTGGGAGCCACTGAAAAGTCTGAGCCACAAGTGCTTTATGAGCACTAAGACTTAGAGTGCTGGTGGGGCTGAGATTGGCCATTTACTGCTTTTCTATTGCTTGGTTCTAGATAGGGCCTGTATTCCTTGTTCTTCTTTTGGGATGAAAGCTTCACTCACCCTAGATAAATGAGCTCCTCATGCCTCTCATTCTGTCTAAGTCACACATTCCACGATAAATGGGGGTCTTGGTTTTATTATCGAGGACAGACCAGAGCATGTGTTAATCTTCTGCAGTGTGATATTTCTCATGTACTTTCATTTA